ATCACAGACCAGGGCCTGTTGGGGTGGGTCTAGGGGAGGGATAGCAGAAGGTAGAAGGACTGGGGAGGGATAACATTAGGAGAAATACCTAATGTAGATGACGGGGGAATGGATGCAGCAAACCACCATAGCATGTGTATACCTATGTAACAATCCTGCAGGATCTGCACATGTACCCCAGAACTTAATATATAATAAAAATATATATATAATAAAATATAATAAATAAAAATTTAAGTCCTGTTTTGTGGCCCAACATATGATGTACATTAGAGAATGTACTTTGTGTGCTTGAGAAGAATGCTTATTCTACTGTTGTCAAATGGAATGTTCTACATATTTCTGCTACATCCATTTGGTCTAACACATAGTTCAAGTCCAATGGTTTTATTCTGGAGAGCTTTTCTATCCAGTTTTGAATGTGGGATATTGAAGTCCCCTACCATTATTGTATTGTTGTCTATTTCTTCCATTAGATGTATTAATGTTTGCTTTATGAGTTCCATTGCTCCTATGGTGAGTGCATATATATTGACAATAGTTATAATCTCTTGGCAAATTGACTTCTTTATCACTATACAATGACCTGTCGTTGTTTCTTTTTACAGACTTGACTTAAAATTCTATTTTAGTTAATTGTTAGTATAGCCACCCTGCTATCTTTTGGTTTCCATTTAGAATATATTTGTTTATGTCCCTATGCTGTGCTATGATCTGAATAGTAGTGTCCCTCCAAAATTCATATGTTACACACTAATCACTATGGTGATAGTATCAGAAAGTGAGGCCTTTTTAGGTGATTAGGCAATGAGGATTCCACTCTCACAGATTGGACTAGTGTTTTTACAAAGAAGTCTCATGGAACTCCCTTGTACCTTCCAGATTGTAAGGACATAGTGGGAAGGCACCATCTACATAACAGGGAGCAAGTTCTTACAAGACGTCAAATAAGTTGGAATCTTAATCTTAGAAATCTCAGCCTCTAAAACTGTATGTAATAATTAGTTTTCATAAACTAGCCAGTTTATGGTAATTTTTATAGTGGCCGAAATGCACTAAAACAATTTAGGAATCAATGTATATTCTTAAATTAACATTATCACAAACATAACTTGGTAATTATTAACAAATGTCCTTTAAATCGTAAAATCTGGCTTTCCTCAACTCAACCAATTTATCTAAATCAGGATCACTAACAAGGAGACAACCTGATGTATAAGCCTCCTGATTTTATAAAAAGAGGAGTAATAAGGTGTTATTAAATAATATTTTTGTCATATTATTGATAAGAAAAAATAAATTAATGACAAATAATAAATACTGATTGCAAATCACAAATCATCTTTACAATTAATTCAAATTATTTTGGGTGCTAGATTCACATCTTGTAGAAGTATCTACATTTCATCATTTTTAGTGCATTTATGTATTGATAAGTAGTAATTACTTATATCACTACTAAAATAAGACTTGGTTTGGTTTTTACATAATGACTTCACCTCCTTTAGTAGTGTAAAATTTTCCTAGTCAAAAATGATTTTAACTAACTAATCCTGGTTAAAATGAATTGCTATAAATATTGCATTTCAGAACTTTATTACTGAAATTTCCACAACTCTTCTATGCCAAAATAGTTAAAAAGTTATCTGTTAAGAACATTACCGATGATATTTTTGTCGTTCTCAACATGTACCACCTTGGTCATTAGATATCATTATTGTAAAATAAATTTTGCTTGAGGTTCAAATGTGATATATGTTAAAGGTAGAAAAGTCAGAGAATACTAATACACACAAAGGAATTGAACTACAACTTTTACCCCTATTATCTCTAAACACATATATAAAATTTTATCTATACTTTTAAATTTCCTGGCAATATTTTTGCTGTAAACATTAATTCAGAGCAAAACTATAGTATTTATGCGTTTGCAGGTGAGTGCATGTGTGTTTATAACTGATACTGTATTTTTATTTTTCATATGTCTATGTTGTAATAGTTATATGCCCAATTACATCTTCAATCCTCTTGATGATTAGTTTGCATTATTATGTGTGCTAGATTGATATCTTGTAGAAGTAACTCCATTTCATCATTTCAATGCATTTACGTATTAATAAGTAGTAAATTACTTGTATCTTATTACTAACATGAGTTAAGACTTGGTGAGGTTTCTATATCTTTGTGAAGTGATATAATTTTGAAATCAGACACAATATGTTTTCCATTTACTATAAAACAATGAGCCTCAAAACAGCATGGTACTGGTACCAAAGCAGAGATATAGACCAATGGAACAGAACAGAGGCCTCAGAGGAAATACAACATATCTACAACCATCCGATCTTCAACAAACCCGACAAAAACAAGCAATGGGGAAAGGATACGCTGTTTAATAAATGGTGTTGGGAAAACTGGCTAGCCATGTGCAGAAAGCAGAAACAGGACCCCTTCCTGACACCTTACACCAAAATTAACTCCAGATGGATTAAAGACTTAAACATCAGACCTAACACCATAAAAACCCTAGAAGAAAATCTAGACAAAACCATTCAGGACATAGGCGTAGGCAAGGACTTCATGACCAAAACACCAAAAGCAGTGGCAACAAAAGCCAAAATAGACAAATGGGACCTAATCAAACTCCACAGCTTCTGCACGGCAAAAGAAACAGTCAGTAGAGTGAATCGGCAACCAATAGAATGGGGAAAAATTTTTGCAGTCTACCCATCTGACAAGGGGCTGATATCCAGAACTTACAAAGAACTAAAACAGATCTACAAGAAAAAAACAAGCCCATTCAAAAATGGGTGAAGGATATGAGCAGACACTTTACAAAAGAAGACATACAGGAGGCCAGCAAACATATGAAAAAATGCTCATCATCACCGGTCATTAGAGAAATGCAAATCAAAACCACATTGAGATACCATCTCACACCAGTTAGAATGGCAATCATTAAAAAATCTGGAGACAACAGACGCTGGAGAGGATGTGGAGAAATAGGAACAATTTTACACTGTTGGTGGGAGTGTAAATTAATTCAACCATTGTGGAAGACAGTGTGGCGATTCCTCAATGACCAAAAATAGAAATCCCATTTGACCCAGCAATCCCATTACTGGGTATATAGCCAAAGGATTATAAATCATTCTACTGTTAGGACACATGCACACGAATGTTCATTGCAGCACTGTTTACAATAGCAAAGACCTGGAACCAACCCAAATGCCCACTGATGATAGACTGGATAGGGAAAATGTGGTACATAATACACCATGGAATATTACACAGCCATCAAAAACGATGAGTTCGTGTCCTTTGTAGGGACATGGATGAACCTGGAAACCATCATTCTCAGCAAACTGACACAAGAGCAGAAAATCAAACACCATGTTCTCACTCATAGGCGGGTGTTGAACAATGAGAACACATGGACACGGGGAGGGGAGCACTACACACTGGGGTCCGTTGGGGGGAAATGGGGGAGGGACGGGGGGGTGGGGAGGTGGGAAGAGATAGCATGGGGAGAAATGACAGATACAGGTGAGGGGAAGGAAGGCAGCAAACCACACTGCCATGTGTGTACCTATGCAACAACCTTGCATGTTCTTCACATGTACCCCAAAACCTAAAATGCAATAAAAAAAAATAATAAAAGAAAAGAAAAAGAAAAAAGAAGAAAAAAAAACAATGAGCCTCAGCAGTTATGGAAAAAACTTTGAGAGATTTAAGAGTGATGGACAGAAATGAAGTCTGAAAAAAATTGTATCTAATTTCTTGTCATACAAATTTCATGAACTGGACACAACAGTTTATTTGCCAAGTTTTAATATGGAGCTTTTAAGAAAAGGGCCATGGGTCTCAGATTATAGGTACATTTTCACAAATCAACCCAAAATTTTACTTATGAATGAAAAGGAATAAAACAATACTTAAAAATGAAATTGAGAACTGATTTAATAATAATGTTCTGAATAAAGGTATGGATTTTAATTCTAATTGTTTTTTACACAAGTGGGATAGTCCAGTTTCCCATCCTGACATGTTCTTCGAACAGACTGAGAACGTGGCGAAAGAGAATATCCATATTTACACTGAAATTGAACTGGTTCACCTGATCTTGCATAAAGTTTTGGTTCGTCTGTCCACTTAAATGTTAAGTTATATTTTTTCATAGTTTCTTGTGATATTACACATGGATCTGAAAATAGAAAACAATGAACATAAAGCATTAACTAGTATACAAATCTTCTCAATAGAATTCCAGATTTTGAAGTAGAATGTTATATGATGGTTCAGGAATTACTTCTCAAAACAGTATCTAAGCCAACTATGTAAAAACATCATAATGATTTAAATAAAGTAAAAATGGTAAATGACGTGAAAATGGGGTGCCATGTTTTATGTATGAGAATTAGGGTTTTTTTTTTTTTATCAATGGTTCATTATGTCAGTTGTCAGTTTAGGATCCCTGCATTTTAGAACCTATCATTGTTTTTCTTTAATTAAGATATTGGTGAAAGAGTACAAATTTTCAGCTATGATACAAGTAAGAACTTGGAATCAAACATAGAGTTCTAGTGTTATTTATAGCCAATAGTATTGTATTATTTGAAAATTAGTAAGAAAGCAGATTTTAAGTATCCTCACCACAAACTCACACACATATAACTCACACACTCACCTACACACAAAGGTAATCATAGGTGATAAGAAATGTGCAAATTAATTTGATTGTGGTAATCATTGTACTACAAATATATCAAAAGAGCATATTGTCAAACATGAAAATATATTATTTTTATTTGTTAACTAAATGTTTTAAAATATAAAGAGAAAGAGAAAAATTTCTTGACTTTCTAACATAAATATTTGGTAGGCAAGCATTCAGCAGAATAGTTGCTCAGTAATCTGTGATTATTCTGTTACAAACAGCAAACTATCAGACTCATCACACTGATTTTTCCAGTATTCCATGGGTATATTAAAGGACTTACGTAGGCATTTTGGTGGTTCTGACCATTGTCCATTTCTACATGTTATTCGCTTGTTACCCTCAAGTTCATACAAGTTCTGGCATTGATACTCCACTGATGAATCTGGAGCATATACTGACAGTGGGAATGAAGTAGTGTCTCCATTGGCAATAGGTGGAGGGGGCCCACATTTTCCTGCAGAATCTAAAAAACATCATTTCATCACTTGATTTCTTGGGAGAGCAAATCAAAATACAAATTTAAATAAGGCAAATATAAACACATCATTTTATATAATATCAACAGTGCTGTGATTTTGGGGGAAAGAAATGATTCCTGGACGAAATTTTAATCTTACAAACTGAAAGTAATATATTTAAGTTCTTTTTTCCTTACTGAAGAAACACATGAAACATTAACAAATGTTTCTGCCTATAGTAGTCCAGGAATAAGAAATGTTTCTCTGAATGAATACATGGTAAACATAGAAAACTAGGACAAAGAAAATTTCTTATTTGATATTCAACATTCTTTGGAGTGATGCTGAGGGCAGAGATTTTGAAATTGATGATGGTTTTTAAAACCTGCATTACCTGCACATGTACCCCAGAATTTAAAGCATAATAAAAAAAAACCTGGAAGAAATTATAAAATGGAAAAGTGAGACAAAAATTTTTTCAAACACTGGATAGGCTTAATAATACATTGGGAGATGACAAATCCATGAACTTGAATATAGAGCAATATAAATTACCACTCTGAAAATAGACTGAAAACAAAAATCTCAACTGAGACATTTAGAAAAATACAACAACAATAAATAATGCTGATCCAGAAAGAGAAGGAAAAGGATAATCAGCTGGAAAAAGAAATAAATAAAATAATGACTGAAAACCTCCCACTTTGGCCATAGGCATAAACCTACATATTTAAGAAGCTGAGTGACCTCCAAAGAGAATAAACACATTGTGATTTATACCAATAGACATTAAAATAACACTACTTAAAGAAAAAGAAAAAAAAATCTTGATAGTAACTAGACAAAAAACTATGCCTTTTCTCTAGGAGATCAACAAATCCAATGCCAGTGAGTTCTTCACCTATAAGCATGTGGCACAGTTTTCAAGTGTTAAAAGAACTTTCAATTCCAAATTTTATAACCAGTGACACTATCCTTTATAAGTAAAAGGGCAAATATAGACACGCTCAAAGAACCGGAAACCAAGAGAATTTTTGTCCAGTAGACCTGTGCTTAAAGAATAACTAAATGAATTCTTCAAATTAAAATAAAGAGATAGCAGAAAGAGCTTGAGACTTTAGGAGACAGATAGGACAATATAATGAATGAAAAGAGGAGTCAATATAACCGACTTTCTTCTCTTAAGTTTGTTAAATTATGGTTTAATATGGTGCTCAATGTATGTACAGAAAATACTAATGGCCTTTGTCTTTAATATGTGGAGAGGATAAATGGATCTAAATAAAAGTAAGATTTTCGTATGCCAATAGAAGATGGAGATGTCTGTACCAGTAGACAGTGATATGTTATTACATGCACATAGTAGTACCTAGAGCCACAACCTTTTTGAAGGAGGAGAAAAGCTATACAAAGAGATACAATCAAAAATGATACATATGAATCAAAATTCCTTAATCTTATTAAAAATTTTCCCCAAGGGGAATGAAGGAATAGGAAAATAGGACTGAAACCAGAGGAAACAAACAGAAACAAATAAATGGCAGAGGTTTAAGTCCTACATATCAATAATTATTTTAAGTGTAAATGGTCCAAGTGCACCAGTTAAAAGGGCAAGAGAGGCAGAAAAAGCCGGACGACGTGGCTCCAGACTGCAATCCCAGCACTTCGGGAGGCTGAGGCAGGAGGATCATGAGGTCAGGAGATGAAAACCATCCCGGCCCACATGGTGAAACCCCATCTACTAAAAATACAAAAATTAGCTGGGCATGGTGGCGTGCACTTGTAATCCCAGCTACTCGGGAAGCTGAGGCAGGAGAATCACTTGAACCCAGGAGGCAGAGACTGCAGTGAGCTGAGGTCACACCACCGCACTCTAGCCTGGCCATAGAGCAAGACTCCATCAAAAAATAAAATAAAATTTCAAAAAATAAACATAAAAATAAACCAGACCCAGAAAGGCAGAATGCATATATGCTGCCTACAAAAACTCACTTCTAGGTAGATTCTAAGTAAAATAGTGAAAAAACTCAGACAAACATTAATTTTTAAAAATGGAGGTCAATAAGATACAATTTCCTTTGTTGGTTTCCCTTACTGCATCTCTGTATATTAGAATGAACCAGGATTATGTGCTCAGACTTCTTTTTATAAATACGGTAGGTCCCTGGATGAGTTCAGTTAGTCACATACTTTTGAATGTAATCTGTATACTGAAGATGTCCACATTTATATTACAATCTATGATATCTCTTCAACTATCATTTCTATATCTTAGAGTGGACATATCTTATGTCTGTCAAATGCACATAATGTATTTTTTATTACCTGTATTCCTCAGAAGGAACGGAGTGTTGTAAAGCTTAAGATACATTATTTTTCAAGTTCCAATTCTCCTTTTAATTTGGTCAAATATTTTCAAAATTAATACACCATGTTACTTGTGTTCCATTCACAAGAATAATTGAATTTTAGGCATCATCAATCATTTCATTTGCATTTGAAAAATAGATTACACAGAAATTACTTTGTTTGATTTAAATCAACATATTTTAACCCTGCTGTACTCTCCAAAAATGTTAAGGGAAATATAATACTCTACCTTTGCATTGAGGTGGTTCGGTCCAGTTTCCATTTACACATATCACTTCTGCATCCCCAAACATTTCATAAGGTCTCCTACATTCATAATATACTTTATCACCAGATAAATATCTATCCTTCTGTGTTTGCCTCATATAAGCATTTTGTACTCTGGGCGGATTCGTACAAGAACTGTCTGAATAGAAACAAAAGAAGTAATTTCACCTAGTGTTCATTTTGAGTAGTAAATCAAAATAATACAGATATATTTCAAAATGAATTTAAAACAAATCGACAATCTGTTATCAAATTTTTGTTGATTGTAATACATTTAAATGTAATGTTGAGGAAAAGCCATAATACAAATTTTTTGTAAGGTACAAGCTTTGATGTTTTAAATTTCTTCATCCTTTGCTAGAACACAGATAGAACTTTTTTTTCCTTCTGGAAGCCAGTATAAATGGAAGCTTTCCTGGATATCTCTCTTTGAGTTTGAGTAGCATAAATATTACCAGTTCTATGCATTTGGCATTACTTTATAAAATGCAAAAAAAAATAACATAAATAGATTATGTGACATCAGATTTGGGTTGGCAATCATCCTGCTTATACATTTTATCCCCTTAAAAATAAACACAAACAGGCATTTTCCTACCGAATCAGCAGAGTTAAAAACACATTTTGAAAATTACCCAAGTTAAAAGAGAAGAAGAATGGATAACCAAAGGATCCAAATTGGAGATGTGGAAAAATAAGAGAAAATAAGTCTAAAATAATAAAAATAACTTCAGATAATTTAATTGCCAATGTTTAAGGATACTATGCTGAACAATGCAAAATTCTTCAGTTTCATGTCCATGTTTAATAATAATAGCATAGTAATAATTAGTATTTATTTAGTAATATTTAGTAATAATGAGAAGTCTGAGAACGTACATAGCAATGCTTCTCAAAGAAGTGTGCATAGAATTCCCTGGAGGGGTTGGTAAACCAGTTTCAGGATCCTATTTCAAGAATTTTGATTCTGTATGTCTAGAATGAGCTTATGAAATTTAATTTTCATTCCCAGCAATCTCCTAGAAGATTATGACACTGCTGGTTTAGGGACCACACTTTGAGAACTATTGGGCTAAGATTAACAATCAAATACTCAGTTATTTTTAGGGATATATCTATTTTGTCCTGCCCTAAAAACTTAATTTATGTTCATTTTAAATGATGTTGGAGACAATTCTATATTTTATTGTCTAAGACACTTTATATAAATAAATTTTACTTATCTATTTATCTTTTTTTTTTTTTTTTTTTTTTTTGAGACGGAATTTCGCTCTTATTACCCAGGCTGGAGTGCAATGGCACGATCTCGGCTCACCGCAACCTCCGCCTCCTGGGTTCAGGCAATTCTCCTGCCTCAGCCTCCTGAGTAGCTGGGATTACAGGCACGTGCCAACATGCCCAACTAATTTTTTGTATTTTTAGTAGAGACGGGGTTTCACCATGTTGACCAGGATGGTCTCGATCTGTTGACCTCGTGATCCACCCGCCTCGGCCTCCCAAAGTGCTGGGATTACAGGCTTGAGCCACCGCGCCCGGGCTTTTTATTATTTTTTTTAGACAGAATGTTGCTGTGTCACCCTGGTTGGAGTGTAGTTATGTGCTCTTGGCTCACTTCAACCTTCATCTCCCTGGTTCAAGCATTCTCCTGCCTCAGCCTCCCCAGTAGCTGGGACTACAGATACAAGCCACCATGCCCCACTACATTTTTTTGTATTTTTAGTAGAGATGGGGTTGTACCATGAAGGGCAGGCTGGTCTCAAACTGCTGACCTGAAGTGATCCACCCACCTTGGTCTCCCCAAGTGCTGGGATTACAGGCAGGTGCCACTGAGCAGGGACCACACTTTATATAAAGACATTTTTAAAATTCATCAAATACCTCTGCATGTTGGCCTTCCTGTCCATTTCCTATTAATACATGTTACAGTACTGGGTCCATCCATTTGGTAATATGGTGCACAAGTGTAAGTCACCTGCTCACCCGACCTATAGGAATTCTTCGTCACTCCCTCAGGTCTGGCATTTTCAAAGCTCGGTAAACCATTACAATCCGTTACTGAAATAGGAAAAATAAGTATTTGTTCAGCAAATCTTTAAAAACAGGTTACATATAGTGTATGTAATATATTCTAAAATAATGGTGAAATATAGAATCGATTAATACTGGGCAATATTTTTCTCATAACTTGACAAAATATGTTAGCCATTTTGACTTAATTAAATTGTTCTCAATCTATTAAAAAAAAAAACAAGATAGGAATGATGTTAGAAACCTGAAGAGATACTGGTAGCTGTAGCACTTGCAAATACACATTTAGTGTTCACATTATTTTTTCCCATCCTTGTCACCTGATATGGTTAGGGTCTGTGTTCCCACACAAATCTCATCTTGAATTATAATCCTCAGGTGTTGAGAGAGAGACCTGGTGGGAAGTGATTGGATCATGGAGGCAGCTTCCTGTATGTAACAAGATCTGATGGTTTTATAAATATTTGGAAGTTCCTCTTTTGCTAACTCCTCTCTCTCCTGCCACCTTGTGAAGAAGGTGCCTGCTTCTCCTCTGCCATAATTGTAAGTTTCATGATGCCTCCTCGGCTTTATGGAACTATGTGTCAATTAAAACGATTTCTTTTATAAATTAACCAGTATTGGGAAGTTCTTTATAGCAATGTGAGAAAACAGTAATACACCACCAGATTGTTTATTTCTGAGTTTTTTGCTTCTGTCCAATGTGAATTACCTATAATAATGTTTTTAATCGTTTAGAAAATATACTTAGGGGGAGATTGTTGATAAACTGACAGAAGATTGAAGAGTAGAGAACAGCTGCACTCTAAGAATAGAGATGAGAAATCTGAGGATGTACATCAGAGGATGTTGAAAGTTCACACAAGATGATGTGAAAATGAAGCAATTTGGCTTATCATGTCAAACATTTTAATTACTAGAGCTATAATTTCCTACAACACTCCAGAATATTCAAGAAAACCTTGTGAAATTCTAGAGTCACTGCTTACTTCATTATTGGTAACACTTATACTTTGAATGAAGAATATTTATCATACATGTAGTAAAATTCAAAACACCATACTTATGCATTCTGGAGGGTGGGACCATTTTTCTCCCAAGCATTTTGCAGTGGCAGGTCCATCAATTCCAAAACCTTCAGAACATGTGTATGTAACTTCTTCTTCATACTGATAACTGTCTGACATGTTAGGTACAGCACCATTAGAAATCTTAGGTGGAGACTTACAAGGAAGACCTAAGGAAAGAAAAAATCAGGTTTCACTAACTCAGAAATTTAATTTTATGTACCTATTTTTATATTTAGTAGCTTTATTTGAAAATGAACAACACAGGAGTTACTATGATGTCACAGATAAGTGCACAAATGTTTCCTAAAACCAACATTCTGGTGTCTGTCCATCTATCCAACTGTCATGAACCGAGCAAGGACTTGAAACTAAAAATATCAATACATTTAAGAAAGAGATTATCATCAATGCCTCTGTATGGAATGCCTCTGTAAACTTATTAGTGATAATAAGATACACATTGGGGGTTAACAATTCCAGGTAAAACATAATATATTGTAGGAAATCAGAAGGGGCCTTCTGGGAAGAAAGTAAAAGAAGTTTTAAAACCTAGTGGCAAAGCAAACATGACAACTTACAGAACATGTAGTGATATGGTTTGGCTATGTCCCCACCCAAATCTCATCTTGAATTGCAGTTGCCATAATCCTCATGTGTTGTGGGAGAGACCTCGTGGGAGGAAACTGAATCATGGGGGTGATTATCCCTCTGCTTCTGTTTTCAGAAGTCAGTTCTCATGAGATCTGATGGTTTTACAAGGGGCTGATTCGTCTTTGCTTTGCACTTCTCCTTGTGCCATCATGTGAAGGACATATTTGCTTACACTTCCACCACAGTTCTAAGTTTCCTGAGGTCCCCACAGCCATGTGGAACTGTGAGTCAATTAAACCTCTTTCCTTTATAAATTATGTAGTCTAGGGTAGTTCTTTATAGCAGTGTGAGAACGAACTAATCAGTTAATTGGTACCACAGATAGTAGGATGCTGCTGTAAAGATAACCAAAAATGTGGAAGCGACTTTGGAAATGGATAACAGGCAGAGGTTAGAACCATTTGGAGGAGTCAGAAGAAACCATGTAAAAGTTTGGAACTTCCTAGGAATGTGGAGGGCTCAGAAGACAAGAAGAAGTGAGAAAGTTTGGCATTACCTAGAGACTTGTAGAATGGCTTTGACCAAAACGTTTATAGTGATATGGACAATGAAGTCCAGGCGGAGGTGGTCTCCAATACCAATGAGGAACTTGTTGGACACTGGAGTAAAGGTCACTCTTGCTATGCAAAGAGACTGGTGGCATATTGGCCTTGCCCTAAAAATCTGTGGAACTTTAAACTTGAGAAGATGATTTAGGCTATCTGGAAGAAGAAATAGCTTCTTAGTGGCAAAGAGTTCAAGAGGAAGCAGAGCACAAAAGTCTGAAATTTTGCACCCTGATAATGCAATAGAAAAGAAAACCTCATTTTCTGGGGAGAAATTCAAACCTGTAGCAGAAATTTGCCAAAGTAATGAGAGCCAAAAACAGTAGGGAAAATGTCTCCAGGGCATGTCAGAGGCCTTCATGGCAGCCCCTCCCATCACAGGCCAAGAAGTCCAGGAAGGAAAAAAAAAATGGTTTGTTTGTTTTTTTTTTCCTTTCCATGGAAAGAGACTTTCCTTTCCATGGAAAGCCCCCTGCTCTATGCGGCCTCAGGACATGAGGTCTTGTATCCCATCTGCTTCAACTCTAGCTGTGGCAAAAGGGGCCAACATACAGCTCAGTCTTTTGCCTTAGAAGGTTAAAACCCAAGCCTTAGTAAATTGCACGTGGTCTTGGGCCTGTGGGTGCACAGAAGTCAAAAATTGAGGTTTGGGAACCTCCATCCAGGTTGCAGATAATATATGGAAATGCCTGGATATCTATGCAAAAGTTTGCTACAGGGTGGAGCCCACATGTAGAACCTCTGCTAGGGCATTAAGGAAGAAAAATTTGGGGTCAGAGCTCTCACACAGAGTCCCCATTGGGGCACTGCCTTGTGGAGATGGAGCTTGGAGAAGAGGACCACCATCCGTAAAGCCCCACAATGGTAGATGCATTCATAGCTTGCACCATGTTCCTGGAAAAGCCACAGAAGCTCAGTATCAGCCCATGAAAGCAGCCCAGAGAGGAACAAGGTTACAGGCAGATCTGCCCAAGGCTGTGTAAGCCCACCCACCTTTTGCATCAGCATGACCTAAATATAAGACATAAAGTCAAACGAGATAGTCTTGGAACTTTAAGGTTTAATCATTGCCCTATTAAATTGCAGACTTCCAACAGGCATGTAGCCACTTGGTTTTGGCCATTCACTCCCTTTTGGAATGGGAGCACTTACCCAATGCCTGTACCCCCATTATATGTAGGAAGTAACTAACCTGTTTTTGATTTTACAGGCTCATAGGCAGAAAGGACTTGCCTTGTCTCAGATGAGACTTTGGACAGGAATTTTGAGTTAATGCTGGAATGAGTTAAAGAGTTTGGAAATTTGGGGAAGGCATGATTATATTTTGAAATGTGAGGACATGAGACTTGGAACATGGTGGAATGATATGGTTTGTCATGTCCCCCACCAAATCTTTTTGAATTGTAGTCCCAATAATCCCTACATTTCATGGGAGGGGCCCAGTGGGAGGTAATTGAATAATTGGGGCTGTTACTTCCATGCTTCTATTCTCACGATAGTGAGTTATCATCAGATCTAACGCTTTTAAAGAGGGATTTTTCCTCTTTGCTCAGCATTTCTCCTTCCTGCCATCATGTGTTTTCTTCTCCTTCCACCATGTTGGTAAGTTTACTAAGGCCTCCCCAGCCAGGTAGATCTGGGAGCTAATTAAACCTGTTTTCTTCATAAATTACCCAGTATCAGGCAGTTCTATTTTTTTTTCTTTTTTTGAAAAAAATTTTTTTTTTTACTACACTTTAGGTTCTGGGGTACATGTGCAGATCATGCAGGATTGTTGCACAGATACACACATGGCAATGTGGTTTGCTGCCTCCATCCCCCATCACCTGGCATTTCTACCCATGTTAACCCTCCCCGACCTCCCCACTCACCGCTGTCCCTCCCTTGGTCCCCCCAATCCCATTGCTGGGTATATGCCCAGAGGTATATATACTAGGTATATTCCATTTGCTGGGTCAAATGGAAATTTTATTTCTAGGTCCTTGAGGAAGAGCCACACTGTCTTCCACAATGGTTGAACTAGTTTACACTCCCACCAACAGTGTAAAAGAGTTCTTATTACTCCACATCCTCTCCAGCATCTGTTGCCTCCAGATTTTTTAAAGATCGCCATTCTAACTGGCATGAGGTGGCATCTCAATATGGTTTTGATTTGCATTTCTCTAATAATCAGTGATGATGAGCATTTTTTCATATGTTGGTTGGCCTGATTTATGTCATCTTTTGAAAACTGTCTGTTCATATCCTTTGCTCACTTTTAGATGGGTTTGATTGTTTTTTTCTTGTAAATCTGTTTTAGTTCTTTGTAGATGCTGGTTATTAGCCCTTTGTTAGATGGGTAGATTGCAAAAATTTTTTCACATTCTGTTGGTTGCCAGTTGACTCTAATGATTGTTTCTTTTGCTGTACAGAAGCTCTGGTGTTTAATTAGATCCCATTTGTCTATTTTGGCTTTTTTTGCCAATGATTGTAGTGTTTTAGTCATGAAGTCCTTGCCTATGTCTATGTCCTGAATGGTTTTGCCTACGATTTCTTCTGGAGTTTTTATGGTGTTAGGTCTTATGTTTAAGTCTTTAATCCATCTGGAGTTAATTTTAGTGTAAGCTGTCAGGAAGGGGTCCAGTTTCTGCTTTCTGCAGATGGGTAGCCAGTTCCCCAACACCATTTACTAAACTGGGAATCCTTTCCCCATTGCTCGTTTTTGTCAGGTTTGTCAAAGATCAGTTGTAGATGTGTGGCGTTGCCTCCACGGCCTCTGTTCTGTTCTGTTGGTCTGTATCTCTGTTTTGGTAGCAGTACCATGCTCTTTTGATTACTGCAGCTTTGTAGTATAGTTGGAAATCAGGTAGCCTGATGCCTCCAGTTTGTTCTTTTTGCTTAGGATTATCTTGGCTATGCAGGCTCTCTTTTGGTTCTATATGAAGCTTTAGGTGGTGTTTTTCCAGTTGGTAGCTTGATGGGGATAGAGTTGAATCTATAAATTACTTGGGCAGTATGGTCAATTTCACAATATTGATTCTTCCTAACCATGAGCATAGAATGTTTCTCCATCTGTTTGTGTGCTCTCTTATTCCCTTGAGTTGTGATTTGTAGTTCTCCTTGAAGAGGTCTTTTACATCATTTGCTAGTTGTATTCCTAGGTATTTTATTGTCTTTGTCAGGCGGTTCTTTATAGGAGCATGAGAATGAACTAATACAGATAGGTTTAATTTCGCTAGATGTTATATTTTTAATGCCAGAATAAAAAAATTATTCTATCATTAACAAAATTAACTGAAATAGAATAGATTCAATCATGCAAAAAGTATTTTGAATATCATAATTTTATATATTTATATTTATATTTTTATACAGCATTTATAGTTATATATATTTATGTATTTATTATATATATACATATCTTCACTTTGATAATAAGAGATCATTTTTAATGTATTCTACTGTAAACAGAAATTGAGTTTTCATATTGTCCTAACCTTCACATTGAGGTGGAGAACTCCATTTTCCCATAAAGCATGTTATTTCATTTTCTTCAGATATCCTGAAACCATCTTCACAAGTAAAACTCAATTTCGTCCCATGTGCATAACTTTCTTCTGAAAATTTGGATGAATTAATGGTTCCATGTTCTACATGCGGTGGTTGTGAACACGGAATTTTTTCTAAATGAAGAATGAAAATCAAAGTGTCAAGAACAAATAAAATATTTAAATTGAAATATAAAATCAAACACTATTTTGGACTTTAAAATGAGTATAATTTGAGCAAATAAAATTATTTAAAAACAAACACTTATTAGAAACTTGCAAAGATATATTCTTCCACCATATCTATGTTACCACCTTCTTGTTCAATAATCCTCTTCATTCATGTCCTATTCATCACGAGGATTAAAATATGCATGAATGGAAATGTTATGTGACATTTACATATTATTCCAAATTTTGGCTGTATTTTGTTCAAAAAACTGAAAAAGTGGTGATTGATTAATGTGCCTAGATCCTGATTTATTGTGTCTGGATAAAGTAACAGACATAGAGAAAGAAAGTCTCTCTTGCTTACACAAAGCACAACAGAGTATTAACTTCATTTGAAGGAATTATGTAAAACAAATTAAACACTACTACTGACCAACACAGCCCGGTACTGATTGCCATCTTCCATCTTTGCACGTAATTTCTTCTCCTTCCTGAATTAGGTAATTTTCTTGACACAGAAGAGATACTTTTTCTCCATCTTGATAATTCAATGTGGTTGTAATATTCACAGAATTGGGAATCTGAGGTGGAGGTGGGCATAATTGTATTTGTGCCTCTAAAAAATATTAAACATATAGTTAACATTAAAATAAAAATATAAAAAATAAAAAATATTAAAATTAGGCTTTTTATTAAGAATCATAATTTATATAATTAAATAGAATATAAAATTCAGTAAGTGTTTTATAAATTATTACCTATTATAATCATCTATGTATACAAATGTTATACTTTTCAATTTTGTAACAGTTATATTAAATAATAGAACTTTTGGCTTGTATTCTCATAGACTTTCTTATAGTTCTTTTATATATTCTTTGTTTAATAAATTTTGCATAATTTATGTAATACCAATTGTAATTATTTTGAAACTTTAAAATGTTTTAATGGAATTACATTCTTAATTACACACATTAAATAAAAATTGATACCTATTATCAAATATATCATAATTGGATTAAAACCCTCACAAAATGTTCTGCCAGTGGATTCTGATTAGCCAGAAACAAGATTATATTTAGTTAATAATCTATTTGTTACTGACGCTTGACCAAGATAAGCATTAAATATATTCTCTAGTGATTTATAGTATGCTATTTAAAGTTTGAAACTGCCCTCAGGCTTTTATTTACTACCTTACCTATATAGTTTAGGGAAAGCCTGACTTTAGTTATATAATCAAATATAAAGACACCTCTGTAATCTCACAGCTGAACTCCTGTTAAACTGTGATACATGAGTAATATCTTATTTTTTCATAATATGAAAATGAAGCATGTCCTGTTTGACTGATGGAGGAGTTTGGAAGCATCTAGGAGCATTCAGCACCCTATAATTCCTTGATTCTGCTCTCTCCTATCAGTGTATGCTCTACTTCACCTAAAGCTTTATGTAAGCATATTATAGGAAATCATGGCAATTATTTCAATTGTCTGACATTTTGTTAATCAATTCAGGGAGATGTTTGGGTGAATAACACTTCATTAATTGTTATTTATAAGTTCATTTTCTTTTTTGCCTATAATAATTATAGTACTTCATATTTTGTCAAAAGTATTTTGCCTTATCTATGTTTTTCAATATTTTAACATGTTTTTAACATTCTCATCAATTTATTTTTCTTAATATTAATGATCAACTATTTATGCTTGAATCACTCTTTCCTTCTATTTTTGTTAGGTGTATGTTCCTACCTTCTAGATTATAGTACCTGTTGTTTTTATTTTGTTTTTTCTTTTCTTCCAATGCATGTTGTGATGCTAAGATACGTCTATCTAGGTTTCAACTATATCCCATTGATTTTAATGTGGACTGTAATCATTATTATTTAATTTAAAGTATTTTCTGATTGAATTACTCTTTCTAAGTAATTGAGAAAGAGATTGGTTATTTAACAAAATTGTGACACAGTATAGCCTAATTCTAAATTTAAACTTAAAGCCCATTGTGACCCATTATAGCCTAATTCTACACTTAGTGTGTATGCATATTTCTTTTCTAAATAGAACCATCAGCAAGTAGACTATCAGTTGTGCAATTAAAAAATTACTGTTTCAAAATACTGAAATTTTCCCAGTATACTTTCACAACAGAATTAAATTAGAAACCAGCAAAAATAAGTTATCTAGATAAACATTTAGAAATTAGACTATAAACTTCAATACAATTGATCATCAACAGACATACCACAAAACAAACGAGAAAATATTTCAAATAAAATAAAAATGCAGCCCCCTGTTTATCCCCAGAAAGGTTTAAGTCTTCCATCAAGTGCTAGAACTTTTACAGTTACCTCTAAAAGGACTCTATCCTGAAACTCTTAACTCTCACAGCAGAACATACTAGGAATATACCAGTCTGCTTAGATCATAAAGCAAAGAGTTGGTCTTCAGATTGTATGTAAAAACACCAGAGGCTATGCCAAATTGGAGCAGTGCAGAAAAGGGAAGAGAATGTTTGATTTCCATTTCTCTCCAGAAAGGGCTTAGGGCACACGCTTCCACTGGCTACTTAATAACCTGGCATCTACAGAGCTTGCACAGGGCAGCTGATGATGCAAACAAACAATAATCTTCCCACAGCCAAAGTCAAAATTTGGGACTTCATAAGGCTCACCCCAATGATTAACGCAGATTTCCCATTCTTCCTGGACCAAGTTTAGCCATGTCTTCAAATGTCATTACATCTATAGCCCTGACTCAAAGCATTGTCTCCTTAATAAACTCACTCTGGGAGATGATAGGGATTTGCATTCCTGAAAGGCCCTACATCACATAATACAAAAATGTGGTAATACAATGAACTCATTTTCAGCAGCTACCTCTTCAGGATCAGAGTGTGCAGCCTGAATATTAGTACAGGCAATAGCCCCAGGGTCCTTACCTGGTGGAATACAGAGAGACTGAAAGATAAGCCCCCACATTTACTTTCACTATGAATGCAGAAAGAAGTGAAATACACAGCCAATGCCTCAAAATTTTCAGCTACATCTAGAGAGCCTGCCTCCTACCTTATTTGTGCCAGGTACTGACTAGATGTGACACATTCTGACCTCCAGAGGGCCACCAAAAATAAGAGACAGCAGTATGCACAAAGACTTAAGAGGCACTTGAAAATTTTTGGCTGGAAAAATTAGTGAGATCTTTCCACTATGTGATGCCAGTCTGATAAGATTGAGAAAGGCCATTTTTGTATCCATTGCACAGAAGCACAGTGAGTTAAAGAAAAAAAAAAGAAAGAAAGAAACGAGAATATACTCCAAACAAAAGAACATGATGAGTCTCCAGACATTGACTTGAGGGAAGTGGATTTACTCAAGAGGGAATTCAAAATACGGTCATAAATATATTCACTGAGGTCAAGAGAGCAATGCAACAACAAATTGACTAATTCAACAAAGAGGTTGAAAGTATTTTAAAAGTACCAAACAAAAGTCACAAAAATATTAGAATACTGTAACTGAAATGAAAAATTTTAAAGAGGCATTCATCAGATCAGATAAAGTAGAAGAAAAAATTAATGAACCTGAAGGCAAATTACTGAAAATCACCTAAAATGAGGAGCTAAATAAATCAATAAATAAATGTGAAGCTAGCTTAAGATCCAGATGGGATGCCATCATGTGAAATAACATATGCATTATCAGCATGTAAAAAATAGAATGAGACACAAGGAAATATAAAACATATTCAAAGAAATAATAATACAAAACTTCCAACAAGTGGGGAAAACATGGAAAACAACTACCAGAAATCACAAAGGCAATCAAATAAGTTTAATAAAAGATACTCACGTGGAGATATAACACAATCAAATTATCAAACATTATAGATGAAGTATTGAAAGCAGCAAATAAAAAGTGAAAGGTCACATAAAATGGAATTTCCACAAGACTGTCAGTGGATTATTCAACAGAAACCCTGCAGGACATGAGGAAGTAGAATGATATACCCAAAATTCTGAAAGAAAACTACTGCCAACCAAGAATTCCAGATTCTACAATTCTATCTTAAAAACAAAGGAGTGATAAAGTCTTTCTGTGATTACAAAAAGCTGAGAGAGTATAAGTACACTATTTTGCCTTACAAGAAATGCTAAAGGGAGTTCTTGAAGGTGAAAGAATAGAATGCTAAATAGTAACATGAATATGTTAAAGTATAAAAATTACTAGTAAAGTAAGTATGATATGAAATCCAAACACTTTAATACCGTAATGGTGATGGGGAATTATAGCTAGCATAAAGTTAAAAGGCAATGCTACTAAGAATAACTGAAGGCACAATGCTTGGTAAGAGATATGAATTATAGAAAGATGTAAAGTATGTCATCAAAGATATAAAACGTGGGAGGAGCAGAGTAAGATTTACAGATTTTATATGTAATCAGAATTCAGTTGCTATCAACTTAACATAGACTTTTAAAAGATACGTTATATAAGCCTAAGGATAGCCACAAAGCAAAACCTCTGATACACAAAAGATTAAAAGAAAAAATCCTCGGCCGGGTGCGGTGGCTCACGCCTATAATCCCAGCACTTTGGGAGGCCGAGGCGGGTGGATCACGAGGTCAAAAGATCGAGACCATCCTGGTCAACATGGTGAAACCCCGTCTCTACGAAAATACAAAAATTAGCTGGGTATGGTGGTGAGTGCCTGTAGTCCCAGTTACTCGGGAGGCTGAGGCAGGAGAATTGCTTGAACCCAGGAGGCAGAGGTTGCAGTGAGCCGAGATCGTGCCATTGCACTCCAGCCTGGGTAACAAGAGTGAAACTCCGTCTCAAAAAAAAAAGAAAGAATCCTAAGCATATGACTACAGAAAGATATCAAGGCATGAATAAAGCAAGCAAGAGAGTAGAAACAAAGAATTTTTAAAAATAACAACCAAAACACAATTAACAAATTGCCACTAGTAAATCCTTGCCTATCAAAAATTACTTTAAATAAAAATGGAATGTATTCTACAATCAAAAGGCATAGAATGACCAAATAAATTAAAAATTAATACCCAATTATAAGCTGCTTACACTTGACTTATTTCACTGTATCGTACATTCATAGACTGCAGTGAAGGAATAGAAAAAAATCTATAAAAATAAAAACTAAGAGAGAACAGAGGTCGTTATACTTATTTCAGAAGAAATAGATTTAAAGGAAAAAATGTATAAAGGAACAAAGAAGGTTATTAAATAATAATAATGCGGTCAATTTGTCAAGATAATGCAACTGTTGTAAACTTTTATATGCACTCAACATCAGAGCAACTAAATAATAAGTAAACATTTAGAGACCTGAACGGAGATGTGGAATGCAACACAGTAATAGTAGGGGATATCAATACCTTACTTCAACATTTAGACAGGTCATCCAGACAGAATATCAATAAGGAAACATTAAACTTGAACAATAATTTATACCACACAGATTGAACAGACATACAAACAGCACTCTACATAACAACAACAAAACATATTCTTCTCAAATACACATGAACATTCTTCAGATTATATCATATGTTAGGCCATAAAACAAGTCATCAAATTCAAGAAGACTGAAATAATATCAAGTACCTTTTCTGACAGCAATGGTATTATAAAAGAAGTCAATAAAAGGAGGCATTATGGAAAGTTTTAAATTATTTGAAAATTAAACAATGTGCTCTGAAACAACAATGGGGTCAAAAAATTTAATGAAATTTAAAAATATCTTTAGGAAAAGTAAAATGGAAACAAAACATAACAAAACTTATAAAATGCAGCAAAAGTACTTCTAAGATGGATGTTTATAGGAACAAACGCCTACATCATGAAAGTGGAAAGAACTCAAATAAACAATCTGATACTACACCTCAAAGCAGCAGAAAAATATGAAAAAAATTAATCGATCCCAAAATTAATAGAAGGATGGAAAACATAAAGATCAGAGCAAAAGTAAGCCAAATAGAGCCCCAAACCTACAAAATATCAATGAAAGAATTGGATTTTTAAAAAATAATCAAAATTGACAAAGCTTTCACTAGAAAAACTAAAAAAGAGAGATATGACTTAAAGGAACACAATCAGAGATTTTTTTTAAAAAGGAGACATTACAACGGATATCACAAAAATATAAAGAATAATGAGAGACCAATATTAGCAATTAAATGCCAACAAATTGGAAAACCTAGAAGAAATGGACAAATTCCTAGACACACACAGCCTCCTACAATTAACGCAAAGGAAATAGAAAATCTGAACAGGCTAATCATGAGGGAAGAGATTAGTCAGTAATAAAATGTCTCCAATCAAAAAAAATCCAAGACGTGATGGTTTCATTGCTGAGTTCTGCCAAACATTTTAAAACAACTAATACCAATTCTTCTAAAATGACTCCAAAAATTTGAAGAGGAGATCATTTTTCTAACTCATTCTAGTGGCCCAGCATTACTCTGAAACCAAAAACAGACAAGGACACAACACAAAAGGAAAACTACAGGCAAACTCCACTGATGAACATAGGCACAAAAAAGCCTCAACATTATACTAGCAAAACAAATCCTACAGCTCATTAAAAAGATTATTCACTATGATCAAGTAGGTTTAATAAAAAGAATGTAACGGTGGTTCAACATAGGCAAATCAGTAAAGGTGATGCATCACATTAACAGAAAGAGCAATAATCATATGATCATTTCAGTAAACCTAAATGGAAGTGCTAACACTATATAAAACTCAAAAAAAAAACTGTAGACCATGTACACTTCACTGCATGTATGTCATTTGCTTTTAAGGACTCTAAACATATTGAACTGTTGATAGTAGGTTAGTTTTTGTATTAGTTGTTAATGCATTCTCTATATTCTAGACTGGCAGACATTGGTAAAAATATTGAGGCCAGTGAGGCAAGGAACCCCACGACTGGAGAGCAAAATATAAATATAAAACATGGGAAGACTGGAATAAACCCTACACTATTTAAGTGAAACTCTATATGACTCAATATGACTAACTTTTCAAGATAAAGAATAAATTAATAGATAAATAGATGACTGGAGAAATGGATGAACAGATGGATACGTACATGAATAGGTAGACAGATAGATTAAATAAATGAATATATAGAAATAGATATAGCTATGTAATACATACACACATAAATACAGATACATAGTAGTTATTGTCATAGACAGAGGGATAAGCACAAGAACATATGTTGACAAGAAAAGGAATTAGATGTACTGGTCCCCCAACAGTAATGATGACACGTACTACCTGGATATTAATTTTAAAAACCATTGAATTTATGTCTGTGTTTTTTATACTAAAGGTAACTAATTCACATGGCACAGCTTGTATTAATTTATTGCCTTTGTTTTTAAGTATAAGATAATATAATTGAATTTTAATAATGGCTATGTTTAACATCATGCAAAATTTCTGCAGATTAAACAATTAAGCTCTCATGAGCCTGTCCAAGCCATCTTCAGCACAGCACTGGTCCTAGCACACAGTGAGAATTCAATAAACAATTCATACCTATTGGGTATTATGTTTATTATTTGGGTGACGAAATAATCTGTACACCAAACCCCCGTGACATGCAGTTTACCTATATAACAAACCTGCACGTGTAACCCTCAACCTAAAATAAGTTTCTTAAAAAGAAAAAAAAGAAACTGTTTTCATTAGTTTCTAAATTACCGTCCTGTTTCAGGAGCATTTGTAATAATAAATAACTAAAGCTTTTAAAAGATACAAATGTACACATCACTTTTCCAAATGAAAAATGGAATACATTTTTTAAAACAAAGTAAGAGCTTACTTGAGCAGTTCACTTCCGGATCCCACCTTCCATTTATGCAGACTGAGTGTTTTTGTTCTTCTTTTCCTCTACATCTGTACCTTATGTTAGAATTATGATCAAATTCTTTCTTTTTGGTTAAAATTCCCTCAATTATAATTAACTTTGGTGTTTTGCACTTCTTCAGTTGATCTGTTGCTATACAATAAAAATATATGTATTAAAATTCTAAGAATCAAACCAATTATTACATAAAAATAGTTATAAAGTTAATGGTATTCACAAAGTAAAATTGTGACATATCATTATAAATTTCCCAAACCAAGTTACTCCTGATCACATTGCAACAAAATGCTATATGTAAAAATATAAGCCCTGTATTCTGTTGCTGAGATGTCAGAGAGAATATCTATCATAAGATGTTTTGTACGTTGGGAAATGCAAAATATCATTGGATATTTCATTGGATGAATAAGTAGGATTGGACATTTAGGACTCTTAGAATGCAGGACCCAGGAAAACATTAGGCAATAACTCAGTTTTAGAGAAATGTAAATGAGAGTCCCCAAGATCTTCCCAGTTACTTACCAAAGAGACAAAATGATTTAAAGCCTTGTAAATCTCTAGTCACACTGTAAGTGACACGACTACTTCATGTCATTCACTTATACTACTGACATAGAAGGCCTGTGGCCCACAAACCCTGCAGCACATTAATTTATTTTGGCTGATATGGAACAAACTGAAAAATTACCACTTTTGCAAACTTAAAGAGAGAAAATATTCCTGTGGGAGACTAGTAAGCAGATATTTTGTCAACTTTTATTTCTTTGCTTTTTAGTACCTGAAAGGAGTACCATATAATAACAACAGTATTTATATAAAAGTTATATTTTCTTGATGATTAGTACTCATATGTAATTATATGACAGTTTTTTAAATTTTTTATTTTTTAAAGAAAGAATTTTACACTGATGCCCGGTTTGGAATGCACAATAAAACTCATTGCAATTTCAAGCTCCTGGCCTTAAGCAATCCTTGCTTCTCAACCTCTATAGTAGGTGGATTACAGGCGTGCACCACCACATCTAATTAATTGAAAAAAATTTTTTATAGAGATCAGGTCTTGCTATACTGCCCACACTAGTCTCAAGCTCCTGACCTCAGGCAGTTCTCCTGCCTTGGCCTCCCAAAGCATTGTGATTATAAGCGTGAGTGACCACCTTGGCCTCACATGACAATTTTATAAGTAAAACATTGCTACACACTTTTAAAGATACACAATATTGATATCAGAAGCAGAAAGATTCATAAAATTATATTTCTAGCTTTATTTTTTCTCTCTAGAAACACAGTGAATGATAAACAATATGCAAAACATTGGTTTCATTATATTGAAGCCTGGACATGTTGAGGTATATCTGTAAATTTCAAAAATAGATTTGTAAATTTTGTTTTGTTTTTACAATAAAAATATTAAACTTTATTAAACGTTGATTTAAGAAGTGTATTCTTACCCACACACTGAGGAAGTTGGGTCCATACTCCATTAATACATGTAATTGATCTGTGCCCGATCATTGTAAATGTTTCTGAGCAATTTAACTCCACTGAATCTCCATAGTAATAGGGAGGAGAAGAAGGCTGGGCATAGCCGTGTTCAATTTCAGGTATATCTCCACAGGTACTCTCCTCCTCTATTTAAATTTACAAAAAAGGTTTTTTTGTGAAAACATAATTTATGTATTTTACATACAAAATACCAAAGTTTTGACAAGTTTATATATTAATATTTTATACATTACCAATACACATTGGCAAAGCTGTCCACTCTCCATCAACACATTGAATTTTATTAGGCCCCTTCATTAGAAATCTGGGATTGCAGTAATATTCCACCACTTGGCTGTGTGCATATTGTTCTTTCTTTGTTTCCTTAACGTCCCCATTGAGAAGTTCAGGAGGTGGACCACATGATTGTACTTGCTCTATAGCAGAAATATGACATAAATAATGGTTCACTTGTCTGTTTTACAATATAAAAATCCAGTAAAATGAAGAGGCTTTCTTCTTTTGTTTATGTATTCTTCATTACGTAACTTACTAGAGCATCCTAAAACAATCAAGAATGGTGTTCATACTGTATTACATTAACCAAATTGTCATATTGAAGTCATATTAAAATGTTAAAGTATGCTGAGTCTTCTAGATGCGTTAAAGATGCAAGGAAACCAATTAGCAAATGGGGTTATGAAAATCATGTTTATTTTTACATTTCATGGAAACATTTCATTATAACATTTTGCAAAATTATCATAACTGAGGCAGGCATTTGAACAAGGTATTTTAAATTGGACTAATCAATACAAGTAATTGAATTTAATATAAGCTGCTTAAATACTGTTTAGACACACTCAGTGAAACTTAAGTTACAGCCCACACTACACAAAATGTTCAATGTGGATGACGACGTTGCAGGCAAAATGAAAATTAACAAAGAATTCCCTGCATTGTCAGCCACTGCTATGGTTTAGATGTTTGCCCCCTCCAACACTGCGGTGAAACTTCATCCCCGATGTTTCAGGCGGGACCTAATGAGAGACGTTTGGGTCATAGGTATGGATCTCTCATGAACAGATGAATGATCCCACTCAGGGATAGTTCTCACTCTATTAGTTCCTGCAAGAGAGGTTCTTAAAAAGAGCCTGTCACTTCCCTGTTCTCTCTTGCTTCCTCTCTCCTCATGTGTTCTCTGCACACACTGGCTCCTCTTCCCCTTCTACCAGCAGTCCGTGGCTCTCACTGAACGCAGACACCCAATCTTGAATTTTATAGACATGAGAATAGTGAGCCAAAAAAAATGTTTGTATAAATCATCCAGCCCCAGTATTCCTTTATAGAAACATAAACATAAAATAGACTAAGACAGACAACACCTATGTGTCTAGGAATACTTCCAGTACATCGTTCGAGAAACAATGGACGTTAACTTAAGTAACCAAACCTCCGGTATTGGGTTCCAGTCCATATCCTACACAGGCAAATCTTTGACTTGATTCATTAGATTACAGATGAGAGAAGCCCAAACAAAATTAAGAATTAGAACTATTCAAAGTTTTAATTCTTGTTTCAGCAATTGTAAGATAAACATTCACCTTTACATATTGGGAGTTGAGGGGACAATCCAAAGTGGTAGCACTGAACTGAATCAGGTCCAACTCTGGTAAATCCTGGTTTGCAGGAGAATTTCACCACCTCTCCAACTTTAAACTGGTCGTTCTTGGGATCAGGAACTAACTGTGCATCTATTTTAGGAAGGCTGCATTCTCGTTCTTTAAAAAGATAAAATAATTTTATAATAATACATAATTAATCATTGCCAAAGTAAAGATTACATGGGCCGCAATAGAGTGAGGTTGATGTTGGGTCATGCATACAGAAGGGCATCAGATAAATCCTTTTCCCTGAAACGAATGCTACATATTTTTTTTTTTTTTTTTTTGAGACGGAGTTTCGCTCTTGTTACCCAGGCTGGAGTGCAATGGCGCGATCTCGGCTCACTGCAACCTCCACCTCCTGGGCTCAGGCAATTCTCCTGCCTCAGCCTCCTGAGTAGCTGGGATTATAGGCACGCGCCACCATGCCCAGCTAATTTTTTGTATTTTTAGTAGAGACGGGGTTTCACCATGTTGACCAGGTTGGTCTCGATCTCCCGACCTCGTGATCCACCCGCCTCGGCCTCCCAAAGTGCTGGGATTACAGGCTTGAGCCACCGCGCCCGGCCACGAATGCTACATATTATGTTTTATATGCTGTCTAAATTGAAATGGAACTTTATGGAAATGTTATGGTATTAAAATGTACCTGTTCTAAAAATTAATTTGTAAATTCAACTTATTTATGATGAATCTAGTTCTAATCACTGACATTTATGAAACTTAATGTTATATGTTTTTACTGAAAGTATGAAATTGCTCTCTCATATTAATAAAGACTGAGACTACAGTTTTAAAGTTGCAAACATAAACCAGAATTAGGGCTTTTGAAAACAGATGCTGGGGAGGATGTGGAGAAACAGGAACAGTTTTACACTGTTGGTGGGAGTGTAAATTAATTCAACCATTGTGGGAGACTACAGTTTTAAAGTTGCAAACATAAACCAGAATTAGGGCTTTTGAAAACAAGATGTTTGACTAAGGAGTTTGGACACCAGTTCTCCTCAGAGAGAAGAACAAAAGTTACAGGTAAACGATCATAACTTGAAGAATATCAAAGACAGAGTGCTGGAGCATAGAAGAGAAATCATGTTAAGAAGCCAAGGCAGGGAAAAAAATAGAAGCAAGAGCCTGGCAAAGGTTGATTAGGATCCTGTGGGACTTCATAGAAAGTGTTGGTAGGAGTCTTTTGGGCTCCCTGCAGCTCAGAATGTGCATCCAAGCTGTGAGAGAGCTCCTCTGCCCTTGTGAACACACACACTATTGTAAGTGGAGATTTCAGAACTTCTTGAGGGCAGTACACCAAACTACTAGCTTGAACAGAGTCATTTGCCTTCTCCTTGGACCTGAGCTACAGTGGTAAGTTTCATGTTTGCAGTGCACTCACATGGGGAGTGCATCCTACCTGGGAACCTCACCCTGTGTCTCCATAACCCCAGAGCCGCACAGACATTCCCTGGCACCTGCTTGGATGTGGCAGCCATATATAGCTGGCTGGACGCAGGGGAGCTACAGCATTCCCAGTAGTTTAACCCTCAGAGAGTGCTGTTCCTAATGGAAAGGAAGGGAGAATGCAGTGCAACAAAGGGACACCCCTTGTGACAAAGAAGACTGTAGCATTCACTTTCCTGTGTGCAAGAGCAACCTGCTTGTGCGCTGAAAGTGACTACACCACTTCCAGCACACATACAGGCACTGTGCTTGGCTCTGCAACGGAGGAGAATAGATAAATACTAGGAGCCAGGTGGCCCCCCTGCTTGGGCACGGATGTAGAGCGGGGACAGCTCCCCTCCTCCCAATCCAGTGGACATAGCTGCGGTCACTCGCAAAGGAAAATGATGCAGACACACCAGAGTACAGACATTCTAGAAGTATTACAGGTGGCTGCATCCCCACTGGTGATGTGCCCAATGAAACCAGGCTTGCAAGAAGGACAAGGCACCTCCCTCTCCTTACACATAGCCACAGTGTTCCTGCAGGAGAGAGGAGGAGAGCTGAAATGCTGTGTGCTTTGGGCTGAGGGAGGTGGTTCCACATAGAAGACATTTTGATGGGGAATTGCAGGGCAAACGCCTTTCATAGCTGTCATTTCTATTGCACCCTGGATACAGAAAGTGGTGCCTATCCAATCTGAGTGCACTCGCCACTGGGACTGTGACAGGTAAGTGGATCAGTCCCTGCCTGCCCAGGCCATGGAATTGGGGCAGCTGCCTCCCACACTGCACACACCTAGGGGCATCTCACCAGGGTCTTCTCCTGACACCCCTGGGAGGGCTGGTGCTTGTGCTCATCCTTGCAGTAACCAAGGGTGAACTTAGTGGTTGAGATCCACCCAGCTTTGTCCCCAGCTCCTCAGACCACTGTGCATTTCACGGATCAGTCCATTGCCTGGGGCAACAGAGTTTCTCCCGTAAACAATGACAAGCATATACTCCTCTGCTTCTGCTGCAGCTGGCTCTTACCTCTGTGCACCACATACTGTCCTGGATGTTGAACTGCACAGCCCAATGCAAAATCTGCAGACACTAGGGCATGATGCTGGAGAACAAGGTTAGTTTTCTGTCAAGTCCTCTATACCAGCCCTTCAGGAGTCAGTAAGCCTTGTCATACACCCAGTACCTAACTACTACAACCAGCAATTAAGAAAGCCATCAGACAAAAGTTATCTCTAACCAAAGAACTCATACAGAGCCATTACCACTGAAAGAACCCAGGACGTAAAACAAATCACCCTAAACAACATACATCATAATCACATCTTCAAAGGGAAAGAAATCCTGTCTATGGAAAACTGCACTCAAAAATAAGAAAAAGAGACAGTCCACTGGAATGAGAAGAAAACACTGAAACATTTCAGGAAGTATGATGAAACAGAGTATCACAACGCCCCTAAAGGATCACACCAACTCTTCTGCAATGACTCTTAACCAAAATACAATTTTTTAAACACCAGACAAATAATTTTAAATATTTATTTTAAAGTAGCTCAGTGAAATCCAAGAGAAAGATGAAAAGCAACACAAAGAAATTAGGGGAAAAAACTCATATATGAATAAAAAATGTACTAAAAATATTTTTTTAAAGAACTTAGGGAAATAAAAAATTCATTGAAGAATTACAAAATACAGTTGAAAGATTTAATAACATATTATACCAAGCAGGAAAACTTGCTCTAAGAGCTTGAAGACAGGTCTTTCAAATTAACCCTGTCAGACAAAAATTAAGAACAAATAATTTTTTAATGAGCAAAGGTTTTGAGAAAAATGGCATTCTTAGCCGGGTGCAGTGGCTCACGCCTGTAATACCAGCACTTTGGGGGGCCAGGGCGGGTGGATCACCTGAGGTCACGAGTTGGAAAAATGGCATTCTGAAAAGTGAGAAAAGAGTTACAGATATTCCCGAGGAAGAAGAAAAAGGTTAAAAGTTTGGCAATCCTATCTAAGGAAAATTTATCTCCTCTTGCTAGAGATATTGACATCTCTATACAAGAGACTCCGATAATGCCAGGAAGATGCATTTCAAGACAAACTTCAAACACAGTCATCAGACTAGCTAAAGTCAATGTGCATGGGAAAAAAACTGTAAAATCCACAAGAGAAAAGCATCACATCAATGATAAAGGAAATCTCATAAGACCAACAGTGGACTTCTATGCAGAAACTTCACAAACCAGAAGAATTTGGTGTCCTATTTTTGGAGTTCTTAAAGAAAGATCCTTTTATATTTCTTAAAAAAGAAAAAGGTTGTTAGACATGAATTTTGTATTTTGCTAAATTAAGCTTCACAAATGAGGAATACATAAAACATGTCCAAGACAAGCTAATACTAAGGGAATTCATCACCACTAGAAATTCACTTTAAGAATTCGTCCCACAAGTAATGTTCCAGGGAGTTCTGAACATAGAAACAGCCGGTCAGTACTCATGATCATAAAGACATGCAAAAGTACATAACTCATAGGTCTTATTAAAAAGAATTACACAGTTGAGACTGCAAACCACCTGGTTAACAACTAACATAACTACAAGAACAAAACCTCACATGTCAATGTTAACTTTCACCATATATAGATTAAATATTCCACTTAAAAGCTATAGATTTGTGGACCAAGTTGAGAAAATAGAAACTAACAACATACTGCTTACAAAAAATCCATCTAAATGAGAGAAACTTAAACAAATTCATGGTAAAGGTATAGAAACAGATGATTTTGTACAAACAGAAAAGAATTTAGTATAGTTATATTTATTTACAAGAAAGACAAAATCAACAAAAGAAAAAAGATGAAGTTTATTCTATAATAATGAAGAAATCAAGAAGCTATACTAAATATGTATGTACTTAAAACTTCAGCACCCAGATTCATAAAGCAAATGCTACTAGAGCTAAGTAGAAAAATAAACAGCAATATACTGAGGGTGAGCAACCTCCACACCACCAATGACTGTGCTAGACAGATTGCCTGGACAAAAATATAAACAAAGAAACGTTACACTTAAATTGAATTCAAGAACAAACGGACCTAACAGACTTAAAGAACATTCTGCCCAACAACCTCAGAATATATGTTCTTCTCATCTGTGCATGGAACATTCTCCAAAACAGACCATATGCTAGGCTACAGCCACAAAGCAAGCCTCCAAAAAATTTTAACGTTTAGAAATAATATCAAGTACCTTCTCAGAAGATGGTGAAATATAACTAGAAATCAGTATCACACAGAATTTTCAAAACTATCCATACACATCAAAATTAAATGACTGACTTCTGAGTGATCTTCTAATCAATAATAAAATTGATGGAAATTTTTAAAAAATAAAACAAATGAAAATACAGATATACAAAAACCTTTGGGATATAGCAAAAGCAGTGCTAATAGGAATATTTACAGTGTGAAATGCCTGCATAAAAAAATACAGAAAGGTTATAAATTAACCTAACTTTGCACATAAGGAAACTAGAAAAACCAGAACAAACCAAACCCAAAACTAGCAGAAGAAAAGAAATAACAAAAATCATGGAAGAACTAAATAAAATTGGGATTAAACAAACAATACAAGAATCAATGAAGTAAATGTTAGTTTTGAAAAGAAAAATAAAATAATTGAAAAGATAAA